AAATGTTATTGAAATTTTGACCACATCTCTACAACCCCTACAAGCAATTTCTTCACTTTTTTATAAATCTCAGATTCAATAGCCAAATAGAAGCTTGAAATCATCTTTATCTCAGGGATTTGACATGTCTCTATCTCACATGAATAAACTTGTAAAAACTTAGTGATGTTGCATCCTTCAAACCTCCTAAATTTGTTGATGATTCCTTACGATGCCCTCGTGATATCTTTTTTAATTACTTGCACACTTATAGAAAGCCTTAAAAAACTCACTAACATTTGGTCTATCCAAAATATTCAACCTATCCAAAGACCTTGATGATACATCATCCATTTTATTCTATAATATTCAAAAATATCACTTGAAATGCTCCAATAAATACCTTATGAAGCTTCAAAATACTCCAACATGTCTATAAAGTCCTATAATACTCCATGATAATCCAAATATTATCATTATATTTCAAGATAGTGTCTAAAACTCCAAAATTCAAAAGCTCCAAAATCAATCTTCTTGCCATGAAATAGACGATCAATCCCAATAACCACCAATAAAATTTAATACCTTCCACTTCAAGCTTTTCACATTGGGTTCACCAATTATGTCATATTGTGTGTTGTCCTATTTGGAAATGTACCGGGTATTTGACTATAAAAGGTAGAATTGTGTTTTACAAATATTCAAAAATCTTAATATGATTCATTCTTATAAGAAGAATGTAATTTGAATTTTAATTCAAAAATTCTTAAATCCAATATAAAGTGCTCAAAAACCCTCTTCTTAGTAATCTCAACTATGTATAAATTCGAAGTGTCTTATTACTTCAATAATTAAGTAATTTCGAACTTTCTTTGCAAATCTTAGTTCTAATCAGTAAGCTTTAGCAAACTGTAGCTCGTGATCTAATTGTTCACTTAAAACAAAATTTTCTACACAAATGCGACTATAAGACTTCTATAAGCTTAATGAGAATTCACTCCAATCCAATCTATAGTCTGTGAAAAATTGCCCAAAAATCACATTGATATTACTTGGTTGCTAACTTGAAAGTTGATACAAATGTTCCAATTACAAATTCTCCTTCTTTAACCGTTAACTTCAACTCAAAATTGATGTATAGCTTGATCTTCAAGTCTTTTAATACTATATTAAATTTCACCTTGATCCAACTAGTAGAACTTCAAATATCATAGAAATCCTATCCAACCTCAAACTGCCAACTTCTGATATATTCTTGCACCAAAACCTAGATATCTCTCAATTGTACTATTGAATTATCACAAAATTTCACATACACTTAGCACACCTAAATAACCAAGTACTTTCAAAATTTGAACTGTAGATGTGACACCAATTTTACGAAGTGGCTGAGAGTGCTATCTATAATTGCATTGCATAAATCCTAAGTTGTCAATACAAATCCTAACTTTGAGCAAAAATTGCAAAGTCCAAACAAACCTGCCATAAGCAACCTTATATCTTTGGAACAAGCTCCAACCTAGCTCTCAAATCCTAATCTATGATCTTCAAATCAAAGCCTATTTTATCCTAGGTAATTATTTTAATAGTCAAAGGTCTGATTTTGACCCTATCTTATAAACAGTCAACTCCCGGGTATCAATCTAACCTATCCTAAGGAATTTTTAGCCCAATCCTATCTTCAATTTACTCCTAATATTAACCATATTAATTATTAACCTCTTTTAACTTGATTTTATCAATTTATGGTCTTTCTAAGGTAGCAAGATAGTCTCTACAATGTAGAAGGTGAAAGTACCAACCAACCTTCAACCTACTAACTATTAAGATAAGAAAATAAACTAAGAGGCTTTTATAAAAGCCATGTTTAGATACCTTGAATTATTATTGAATCAAGATAATTAGATATTAATTAGAAATTTAATTTTGATTATAGTTTTACTATATAGTCGTATTACATCACAATAATATGTTTTGCAATGCATAAATATGTTAGAATTGGATAATAGTAGATTCAATCTATACACAAGTGGTTACATGAAATTATTTGGCCCTATCCTATATTTATCATTAGAAACCATGTTTGAGAAAAAATATTCATAGATAAGAGATTCTACCAAGCATATCTAAAAAATATGTAGATTTTTATATTTACAAGATTTATAGAATAATTGATTGTTACCTAGTTAGTTGTTGATTTAAATTATTAAGTAGAATATAAAAAAAAGAAGTTGAAGGAAAGTATAATGATTGGATGCTTTATAAGAATAAAATCATGTAGAGCTAAATCAAATTATTAAGAGAACATATGTCTTGTCTAATTACTTTGAAAGTATGTGGATTTTATTTTTGTCTTCAAATAGCTACCATAGAAGCATAATTCAATCTACTATTTCTAATTCTATACCAAATCCATTCAAAATCTACTTAAAAAAATATTTTTAAAAATTTTGGATACTAAAATTTCATTCAAATAAATCTCAACATATCAAAGTTCTAATGTAAATACTATTTAGAAATTATGGTAGAAAAGATTTCTTCTTTTTTGATGTATGATGAAAAATAAACTAAGCTATTACATTGTTTGAAAACAAGTTATCTAAATATTGAAGCAAAATTTCTAATTTTTATAAAAATAGAAAATATAAAATATAAAATATAAGATAAAAAAGTCAAATTAGGACTAGGATTTTTATTTATTATAATTGCATATTAATCAAATAACTAGAAAAGTTTAAAAAAGATGGATGGTTTTATTTAATAAATATTAAAAAATCAAATAAATTAATTTTTAAATATTTTTTAAAATATATTAAATTATTTTTTATATTAATATAATTTTAATGATAAATAATAATATATTTTTTTTATCATTTTAGTATTAAAAAATATCCTATAATAATAGAATTTTTTTTCAAAATAACACTCATATAAGTAGCACTTATAAGACAACAACAAGTAGCTAATGAGCTTTAAATATAAGGCTATCCTTCTTATATAACTCTATAATACCTAAAATTTAAGTTTTCTCTATTTATAATTATTTTTATCTTTTGTTAATGAAAAAAGTACAAGAAGGATAATTTTTGTTCTATATTATTTAATATAATGTAAGTAGGACAATAATACACATTAAAAAGATATGGTTATGATGGAAATAATATATGACAAAAAATAATAAAGTAAAGATAAGTCAAATTTCTCAAATTAATTTTAAAAATACTATATATATATTATTTCCATCATATATATATATGATGGAAATATATATATATATATATATATATATATATATATATATATATATATATTATACTCATTATTATATAATAATTATTTTAGGATTAGAATAAAATAATCTATAGCAATATTTTTATTATTTAAAATATATATTTAAAGATTTCTATATATATAAGGTAATATTGATAATATTTATATTTTTATTACTACAATTATCTTTTGAATTAATTTAAGATGTTTTTATTTTTAACTTATTAATGTAATTCGTGAAATATTTAAATAAATAATTTTAAACTACTAATTAGTAATTCTTCTTTTTTCATGTTTTTTCTAAGTAGGAGATATAGTATTAATATTGAATCTCTAAATGACTCCTATATGTCATGAGGAATTAATTAATATCTGTATTTTTTATTAAATATAATTTATATATATCAAAATTTGTATTAATTAGACATAAATTTAGAAATTAAAATAAGTTTGTATTCAATGTAATAAATTAAGGATAATCAAGATGATTATTTTTTTATACAATCTAAAAATATAATATTTTGTGCCTCTTTTTTATATTAAAAACTACTACTTTAGTCAAGAATTTTTATTGTAAATCAATCTAAATCCTTTTTGTACAATTTTTTTCTTATTATTTTTTAAATTCACTATTTTTTTTACTTAAGAATATTCTTTAATTTCTAATTATTATAGATTTCTTAAGATTTTTCATATTTAAATTGCTAAATGTAGCCACGAGCTATTGTTTTGTTTTGTTTTGTTTTGTTTTGTTTTTTTTTTTTTTTTCTGTTATTTATTGAATCTTGAGAATTACAATCAAGTCAAGTTTATTATTGATTCTACTTAAAAAGACAAATATTAGAATATTTATGGTAGGATATTTATTAGTTCCATTATAAGTTGGCTTCATTGACAAGTGAAGCAAAATCATATATAAGACTATTCTTAATTGATACTTGCATTTGTGCAATTTTTTTTTTATAAACCTGCTAATTAGTTGAAATTATCTCATAGTCAATAAGAGGAGCTTCTCTTAGTTTCTTTAGCTTTGCAATTGAGTCACTTAATTTGATTCCAAAAGATGGCTATTATTTTACTATTTCTTGCTTTTTACCATAAAGAAGGCTCATTCAAATTCTTTTTGATGTTATAATTTAAAATCTTTAAAAAAATTTATGATATACTTTTAAAAAATTTAGATTAGATATTTTTATTAGAATTATTTTATTAAAAATTATTTTTATTACAAATATTTTCTAAATTATAATAGTTTATAGAAGAAAAAAATATTATTTTTTCTAAATAACAAAGCATAGTAGCAAAGTCTTGGTATTTACTTCCAAGACTTTGTTTGGTTTGGTTTGATTTTTTTTTTTTTTTTTTTTTTTTTTAATAAATTAAAAGCAACAAAATTTTGGATATTCTTATTTTAATTTCTCACGAATTTGGTCTACCTAAAAGATAGAAGCACATTTTGCAAGATTTTAAAAGGACATTAATTACTTTAGCAAACATTAAAAATGATAATCTTTTACATAAAATAAAACCAAAAATAATAAAAAATATTTTTATTATGCTTTTACATACAAATAGATTATTTTAAGATACTTATAAACCAATTCTTTATATTATAAAACATGAAAACGAAAGTTTTAGATCTCCTAAAATGATGTCCAATTTATTTATGAGGCCTAATCATGATTTTGAAGAATTTTGTTGCCATCTTTAACATTGATTATCCAACCAACCAACCAAACTTTGCAATTAGATTGAAATAAAACTAAATTTCTTGTTTAAGAAAATCACTTATACAAACATTCTACATTATGCTGTGTAGAGTATAAACTGACATTACCATCTATACTTAGTTTCGCGGAAAAACTAGTACTAAACAAAAGTTCTACATCAGGTGTGCGCACAAGCGCGAGAGAAGTTGCTTGCTGTTCTTTTGCCAACTTCGACCACACAGTGCAATTACAGATTATAGTGTCCTAGCATGTTGAACTCGATCTATTTCGACTCCAGAAGTATACCGGCATACTCGGTGCAACAATAAAGCCCACTGCATACTTGTCCATCTACTTATCTAAGGCTCGCAGCCGCAAACCAACAACTACCTGAGCTCGAGATGTCCGAATGCTGGTTCATTGTCCACATCCGGAGAGGAGATCTTGACATTCTGGTCGCGTAGACACTCCGTGCTTCAGAAGGCTTCGTCTCACAAACAACACCAAACGGGGTTAGAGGGTACACGTAGGTCACACTGCAATGGAACGACATCACGCCAGGATTGTGGAAACTGCAAGCGAACTGAGATATTGAGCCATGGTGCTCATTTACTCGATCCCGCCAGTTTTCGGTTCCCACCGACTTCGATGTCGCCTTCACCGCCAGCGCCAGGAGTAGACGTAGAGCGAGGTTGATGTTCCTCCGAGGTAGACCCAGAAGCATGATCAGAAGCGGTGACAGAAGACACTGACAGCGAAACAGGTTCCACCACACCGCAGGACGTCTCAGCTTCGCGACTCAGAGCCAGCCCCCACAACATCTCAGCGGATTATCTTACAACGTGAAACATGCGCAATCAAGATGCTCAAGCTACACCAAGAACCATTCTGAAAGACAGACCTACACGTGACCAGAATCCATTCCGTTTGAAGGTTACCTTTTCCCACGAACTGACGAAAAAATTCCATCATACCCACCGCAGATGATGGAACAGTTCCCAGGTAAAGTCGGGTTGACTACCAGTAGAAGCAGAGGTCCTAATCACAACTTCCTTATGCTTCAACAGGTCGTTCGATCTGAGCACCAGTTGTCGACTTTGACCACCAGATGTACAGGAATAAACCCAGAACTCACAATACGATGCATCCGAAACGTTGACATTGATATGCCCCTGCTTGCCTATTGGGGGACCCATGTCGGACAGTATACCTTCAGTGTTCATTTTGATCGTGATGCTGTCACCAGTGCCATTGGTTATCTTTATGGTCTTCGGCATGTTAACTTCGGACCTGCTACTGCCGCTGACTGCGGAGGCCCTGGTGGCTCAGTCCCAACCTTGGAGAACCCACTTGTCGCAAAGGAGTACAAAATGTGAGACGACAAATATTGCTGTGAAACAAATCACCGACACAATGACACCAGCCCTGCCAAAGTTCAGCGCGCTGCACAGCGCGGTGGAGTGATTGCTGCTTAGTCCCTGCACTTCGCTTGGATTTTCCGTAGCGTCTTTGGCAAAATCAAAATTATTACCCTTGTATCTAAGCTGCGATATTCGCCCTGCTGTAACCTGGATATCATTCCCCACACCATGTTCAGACTTGCCAGCAAAAAAAGATATCGACAGAACCTTAATTTTTCTGCGGAGCAACGATGAAGACACATACAACTCATAGCACTAGCTTCGACGGGTCAGCGATGCGAACAGCCACGGTCACGCAGACTGCATCTTGGCCAGGACGCTTGGAGAAAAACACTCATGTTGCACACATGAAGTTACAGAAAAGCACCCTGTGTACTTACTTTTCGAAGAAACTTTTGGTCTGCTTCTTGGTATTCCAAATCCGGGAATCGTCTGAACTTCTCCAGCAGCGCAGTTATGGCGAGTCCTGCAGCAATTACTGTCAACACAATCGGACACCAAATCTTCCCGCACTTTCGCTGGGACGTCCCAGTCGTCAACTGCGACACGGCGGTGAGAACCACCCCTTCGAAGACACTGAAGAATCCAATTATGCTGTACTCCTGGTTTCTCAAGTCCGCTTGACCACTGCTTATTTCTTTGAGGCGGGTCTCGCAACCGTTCTTGATCTCCTTCCAATCGTCCAAAGCTGTCTTCAATTCTTCGTTTTTGCTGATCTTAACCAGGTTTTGAATCTGACGCCAAGACTCATTTGCACAAGCCGCGCTATTAGCAGAACCATTAGCGGAAGGGGCGTCTCCAACCTGATGAGCACCTTCCTCACTTGTTTCAGTTACCGAGTCGCTTACCCTTACTGAGATCCTTACTGAGATCAAGTCTTCATCCCTCCCTTCTCGTTGAGTGCCATTCGCTCTGGGCCTCTGGAGAGAACCCATTCGCTCTGAACTGTGAAATGCGGCTGATACGTTTGGGCTGCCATGATTCATAGACTCGTGGCGAACGCCGCAATAATTTGGATAATAATTATAAATCCTAATTTATTTCTAAATGAATGCTAATTTATTTCTAAATAAATCGTAATTAATTTCTAAATAAAACATAATTTATTTCTAAATAAATCCTAATTTATTTCTAAATAAATCCTCATTTACTTCGAAATTAATCCTAATTTATTTCTCAATAAATCCTCATTTAATTCTAAATAAATCCACATTTATTTCTCAATAAATCCTCGTTTATTTCTCAATAAATCCTCGTTTATTTCTAAATAAATCCTCATTTATTTCTAAATAAATCCTCATTTATTTCTAAATAAATCCTCATTTATTTCTAAATAAATCCTCATTTATTTCGAAATTAATCCTAATTTATTTCTCAATAAATCCTTATTTATTTCTATATAAATCCATATTTATTTCTATATAAATCCTTATTTATTTCTATATAAATCCTTTTTTATTTTAAAATAATTCCTAATTTATTTCTCAATAAATCCTAATTGATTTCTTTATAAATCCTTATTTATTTTTTAATAAATCCTTATTTATTTCTAAATAAATCCTTATATATTTCTAAATAAATCCTTATTTATTTTTTATTAAGTCCTTATTTATTTCTAAATAAATCCGTATTTATTTCTTAATGAATCCTTATTTATTTCTTAATGAATCCTTATTTATTTCTTAATAAATATTTATTTATTTCTCCAAAAATCCTAATTTATTTCAAAATAAATCCTTATTTTCTTCTCATTGAATCCCTATTTATTTCTAATTAAATCCTAATTAATTTCAAAATAAATCCTCATTCAATTCTAAATAAATCCTCATGTATTTCTAATTAAATCCTTATTTATTTCGAAATAAATCCTCGTTTTTTTCGAAATAAATCCTCATTTACTTCTTCATAAATCCTTATTTATTTCTTAATAAATCATTATTTATTTCTTAATAAATCATTATTTATTTCTTAATAAATCCTTATTTATTTCGATATTAATCCTCGTTTTTTTAGAAATAAGTCCTCATTTATTTCTTCATAAATCCTTCTTTGTTTCTAAAGAAACTGTAATTCATTTCTGAATAAATCCTTATTTATTTCTAAATAAATTCTAATTAATTTCTGAAAAAATCATGATTTATTTCTGAAAAAATCCTGATTTATTTCTAAATAAATCCTGATTTATTTCGGAATAAATCCTGATTTATTCCTGAATAAATCCTCATTTATTCCTGAATAAATCCTCATTTATTCCTGAATAAATCCATATTTATTTCTAAATAAATCCTTATTTATTTCTAAATAAATCCTTATTTATTTCTAAATAAATCCTTATTTATTCCTAAATAAATCCTTATTTATTTCTAAATAAATCCTTATTTATTTCTAAATAAATCCTTATTTATTTGGAAATAAATCCTCATTTATTTGGAAATAAATCCACATTTATTTGGAAATAAAATGTAATTTATTTGGAAATAAATCGTAATTTATTTGGAAATAAATCGTAATTTATTTGGATATAAATCGTAATTTATTTGGAAATAAATCGTAATTT